CTGCTTTCCACGTTCTCGCACGTGGCGGGTCAAGCCCAAGCCCCTGATGGAACCGGACAACTGCAAAGGCCCTGCTTCTCTCCTGAGGCTTCCGTGGGCCCAGCTACCCTCCCTCCGACACCTGCCCGGCCTCCCCCGAGGTGGGCGGTGCTCTCGGTGAACGCAGCAGACAGAAGCCCCGCCCCGTGCAGCAGACGCTCCAGTGGGAGGGGCGACAATGCATATGGTAAGTAGATACAAATAGAGTGTGTTTTATGGGATAGGTCCTGTGCAGAAAAATAAAAGAGGCAAGGAAGGAGGCGGTGCGGGTGCGTGTCAGGGAGACTTCAGACAGGTGGCCAGGGAAGGCGTCATCCTCAGGGGACACTTGAGTAAAGGCTTGAAGGAGGTGAGGGAGACCCATGAGGTTATCTGGAAGGACCGGGTTCCAGGCAGAGGCCCTGAAAGGCGAGTGTGTCTGGCTGTCCCTGGTCCACAAAGAGTCCAGAGGTCAGGGACGCTACAGGACGGTGGACAGGCGAGCAAGCAGAGGATGAGATCAGTGGGGAAGGAGGGGGGAGATCAATGTGGGGGGGAGGGCTGGCAGCCATCGCTGTGGCCCTGGCTTAGCAGAGGGAGGACGGGCCATGGTTCCAGGGTCCAGACCTCAGACCACGGGCTGAAGCTACAGAGCTCTGGAGTCTCAGGGAGAAGCTTGGTTTTAGAAACCATTTCCCCCTCTTTCACACTTTGAATACAATTCCATGTTGAAAGTTTTTTCTTTCAAAAGCAAGCTCAACCCTTAAAATAATCTTTCAGAACCAAATACATTTAATCTAGCAATTTGACTTCTGAGTATACACCCCAAAGAACTGAAGGCAGAGACTCCCACGGGTGCTATCCCTGACAGCACTGTTCACGGCAGCCAAAAGGTGGAAGCAATCCTAGCACCCCTCATCGGACGGATGGATAAACAAAACGTGGTCCATACATACACTGGAATGTTACTTGGTTTTGAAAAGGAAGGAAATGCTGACATGTGTTACATCGTGGATGAACCTCGAGGCCATTACGGTAAATGAAATTAATCAGTCACAAAAAGATGAATACTGTATAATTCCACTCCTATGAGGTCCCCAGAATAATCCTGTTCATACAACAGAGAGTAGAGCAAACGGCGGCCAGGGGCAGAGGGAGGGAGAGATGGGGGTTCATGTTTGATGGTGCAGGTGCAGTTTAGGGAGATAAAAAAGCTCAGGAGACCTGGCTGGCGTAGCTCAGTGGATTGAGCGTGGGCTGCGAATCAAAGCGTCGCAGGTTCGATTCCCAGTCAGGGCACATGCCTGGGTTGCAGGCCATGACCCCCAGCAACTGCCCATTGATGTTTCTCTCTCTTTCTCTATCTCCCTCCCTTCCCTCTCTAAAAATAAATAAATAAAATATTAAAAAAAAAAAGCTCGGGAGACCGATGATAGTGCAACATGGATGTGCTTAGTGCCACTGACCTGTGTACTTCAGAACACCTAAAAATCGTTGAAAGGGAAATCTTATGTTGTTTGTATCTTACCACAATTTTTTAAAATAAAAACAAACTCTTAAAAATCAAAACACCAAATCTATCTTATTCCTATGGATCAAGTACACTTTTTTTTTGGTCTCTAAAAAATATTTCAACCCCTAACAATACTGACAGCAGTGAAAACATCTCACAGCTCCTAAGTCAGCTTTCAGAGCGGCCTCGGCCCTCGCGGAGCGGATAACAGGAAGCAGGGGCCGCTGAAACAGAAGAAGAGGAAATGGGCTTCCCCGCCTGTCTTCCACTCTGTTTATGTAAAAATATTCTGCCCTCGGAGATGTTTTGACTTTTGGTATCCTCCTCCTGGGCAAGCCGGAAGCCCTGGGAGTTAACATCTTCACTCTTTGTTTCTAAGCAACAACTGAAAGTCGGCAGGGGAAAAAGAATTTTTAATTAAAGAGAGCACAGCAAGAAACAGAACCTCAGTGTGATCTGTTTCCGCACGTCACCCCCCTCCCAGGCTGGAGTGCGCACACTTGGGGTTTCGCGGTTTTTCCCAGTCTGTAAAGCACGGGCCGAGTTAAAAGTCCCCAGAGGTTTCTACACCCTTTTCCAAATTACTTCCTCTCATAAAGATCTTCCTTGAACCCCCAAAAGTTTATGTTTGAGAAGCGATTATAACACAAAAGCCCACTGAATTCCCAATGATCTCATTAGCAGTGTGTTTCTTTGACTACATTTTAGTTATTCTAACTGCAGCAACAACTCTGGAAAAAAAAAACCCCACAATGCCTTTATTCTATATTACCAGTGAATTTATTTTTCACTAAATTCATGTTCAAAGCCATGCATAGTTGATGATTATAAGGATGGAGTTAGGCTACAGCTCCTTGAAGGTAGAGTAGCTACATAAATGATTTGGAACTCTTAAGAAAACTTGCCTCTTTTCTCATTTATTTACTTCTTCAATATTTATGGGTATTAGTACGAGATCACTGATATTTATTTTACACTTTGGGTTATAATTCCCTACTACTTTGTTTTGTTGCTCAAATGGTCCCAGCTTTGGCCATTGTGGTCTGAACGTGTTCTTGGCGGAAGAAAACAAAGCAAAACCCCCCAAAAAGACAAAACGGAGTGTGCAGTTGCCATGCTGGGTTCTTTCCCCCTTTAAATTTACTTTGAGTGGCATCCAGTTTGCAAAGCCCATGGACGCCCAAGGGACATCAGTGCTGGCTCTCTAACCAGATGGGGGCTTTATTTTACTTCTCTGAACCCCACTTTCCAAATCTGTAAAATAAAGATAATGCCTATGTGCAGGGCTGAAGTGAGGATAACGTGCATAATTTATAATACTCGTAGTGCTCCACAAAGGGACAGATGAGTCCAGGGATAGGAAGCGCCTGGAACAGCCCCGCCCAGAGTGACAGAGAGGAGGGTGCCCGCCCCCAGGGCAGGAGGGGAAGGGGTGTAGGGAGTGACCGCTTGATGGGGGCGGGGTTTCAAAAGTCCTGGATGGTGGTGTCGGTGGCAAAACAAGGCAGGTACTTTACCACAATAAAAAAGAAATATGTGCTTATTGTCGAAAATTTAGAAAACATTTTTTTTTGCTTTAATTCCTTTGTAATCCCAATATTCGGTGGCCACCGTCTTGACCTAGGCCCCTGCTACAGATGGTCTGGACCCCCTCACACGGTTTTGTCCTTTTAACGCCCTGTTGTGCACATTTTCCTGGGCTGCTCAAAACCCAGTGAACATTTTTTAAAATATTTTATTTATTTATTTTTAGAGAGGGAAGAGAGGGAGAAAGAGAGAGAGAAACATCAATGTGCGGTTGCTGGGGGCCGTGGCCTGCAACCCAGGCATGTGCCCTGACTGGGAATCGAACCTGTGATGCTTTGGTTCACAGCCCGTGCTCAATCCACTGAGCTACGCCAGCCAGGGTTCCAGTAAACATTTTTATTAGCTGCATAATATTCCACCATTGCTTATTTAATCAATGCCACGTTGTTAGACAAATTTTTCAGCATTATCAAGAACACTACAATGAACTCCTCTCCGTGATCACCTGCATCTTGTTCCCATTTTAAAATACATCTTTTGGGTTACAATTTTTAGTATCACAGGGAAGTAGAATTACTGGCTCAAGAGGTGACCACGTTCAAGGCACCTGATAGAAGTTGTCATACCTTCTCAGCAAGGTGTGTTGATGACAAACGTCACCATCGACCTGGAAGACACTCGGTTTTAGGCACGCAGACCTGGTTGCCCACACCTGCTGTATAAAATCTTCTCTGCCTTGGTCAATACAGCATCTCATGGTCCCAGTGTTGCCTCTTAATGTTCCTTGCCTGTCCCCACCCCTCAGCTATATTTAGTGTCTTTTTGAATCATTGTATAAAATTTTACGTAAAAATTAGGTTATTTGTTAATCCCCCCTTTGCCCTCAAATTAGTTTTAATTATCGTCGCAGTCTGTTGCTCTTCAAGGAGACAGTGGGAACATTTAAATTTTTGAAGATCTTTGATTTGGAGACGGCAGGGTCGGTGGGGCGCAGAGACGCTCGGAGCGAAGCTGCGAGGCCCAGCCCACAGCCTTCCGCGACCTCGGCGCCCGCCTCGCCCACCAGCACTGCGCCCCCCTGACGCTGCGCTCCGACGCGGCAGGCGAGTCCTGCGGGGGCTGGGAAGTGTCCCTGGCTGCCCTTTAAGCCCGGAGGGGCGCTAACCCGAGGCAAATCCCACTCCCGTGAAAAGCCACGTTCTTCCCCAAGGCGCCCGTGGGTGGGAAGGGTGCTCTGCTCGTCTCGCTCTCCTCTCCACGACCCTCCACCCGGTTCGAGCATCGCCGTCGGGACGTCCCGGGCGCCCGCCGTTCACGCCGAAGGCAGGGCGGGTCCACGCGCTCTCGAGGCTTCTGCAGCCGCTCTCAAAACCCCGAGACCGCTTTCAAGAGGTGGGCATGGGGTTCCTCTAAATCTGGGGACCAAGATGCTCGCGCAGGAACCAGAATCCCGAGGACTGCGGGAAACCCCAAAGGCGTGGGAAGGATCCACGGACCCTCCCATCTCACACTCGGCCGGGGAGGCCCCTCGGCGAGCACCCGCCCCCCCACAACCCTCGAAGGAGGGCCCTCGACGGAACCGCCCACGGCCCCGCCCTCCACGTGTCCTCCTCCTCGTGCTCCGCGGGTCACTTCCCACCGTCCCTTCCACCAGCTTCCTGGTCGCAGCTCCTGGCGACCCTCTCTGGGTTTCCTTTGTCCCCTTCCCACCCTTGTTCCGCGGCTTCCCGGGTCGCCTCCTTGGTACCCACCACTCCACCCTCGTCTCGCCGCGGCTCGCCCTCCCGGAGCTTTTCTTGTCCCCTCCCCCTCTACGGCCTCCCTGTCTCCTCCGGGAGCGTCTCCCGTGACCTTCCCGCCCCCTCCGGCTTCCCCTGTCCCCTCCCCTCCCCGCCCCCGTTTTTAAACCTGGCGCCGGGCGCGCGGGTAGGTGAGCGCCGTAGCTCGAGCGGTTACGGGCGCCGCTGAGTCCCCCGCGCAGCTGGAGGGGCGCGGGCTCCGCGGGCACCATGAGACCAGAGACGGCGGCCGGAGCCCGGGAGGCGCGGGGTCGCGTCTGTCATTGCCCCGCGGACGGTGCCCGGAGGCCACCGCCGCCGCCGCCGCCGCGCGAGCCCGAGAGGTGAGGGTGTCCCTGCGGCCCGGGTGGGCGCGTCGGGAGGCGCTTGGCGCCGGGAGCGGGATGCCCGGGCCCTGAGTCCCCGAATCTCACCACGACGCAGGGCAAGTTCCTTAGCCAGAGACGGGGACGCAGAGTCGTCTGGGTTCCAGCGCCCAGCGGCGGAGGTCCCGGAGGTTTCCGCGAGGAAATGGGCCGGCGCTTCCGCTGGTCTGAAATTCAGCCGGCTGGGAGCGCGGCTGTCTCCCGGCCTCTCACCGAGCCGTGCAGGGGGGTCCCTTCGCGCTCACTGTCACCGCCTTAGGGGCAGTCTTGGCGCTGTTTGAGGCTCAGCGACCGCTGCCCCGTGCGCCGGCCCTTGTCAAGGTAGTGAAGTTTAAGGAATGATCATAAAGGCCGGGAAGTGTGGAAGGGGCTGGGTGGCCGGGCAGCCAGAGAGGAGAAGCCGAGTCCCCTTTGTGCATTGTACCCAATAGAACTCTTGTAGAATCATCTCTGGAGTCAAGAGCCTTCATAACTGAGGCAGTGTCCTTGGGATTAATGAGCGACAAAGTAGCCAGTCATGGGAGGGAATCTGAATTGAAGAGTCCAGCCAGGCAGGGAGGGAAATTCCTCAACTAACGTGTCCCCTGATAATTGTATCAGACTTGGGACTTCTCAGAGCCCTGTGGAGGCGGAGAACTGGGGGTGTGGCAGGCCGGAAAAACACACAAGGCATTGTGTATCCACAGACTGGGGGCTTGAGGGGACACTGGGGTGTACAGTGACTCTTTGGGTTTTTTTTTAATATTTTACTTATTTATTTTCAGAGAGGAGAAGGGAGGGAGGAAGGGAGAGAGAGAGAGAGAGAGAGAAACATCAATGTGTGGTTTCCTCTGGCACACCTCCCACTGGGATCTGCCCTGCAACCCAGGCATATGCCCTGACTGGGAATCAAACCTGCCACCCTTTGGTTTGAAGGCTGGCACTCAATCCATTGAGCCACACCAGCCAGGACCCCAGTGTCTCCTCTGCACACAGTAGCAGTGATAAGAATGATAACTCTTATGGCGTAATTCTGAAAGACAGCAGAGGATGCTGGGGTTCACTCCTGGTCCCTGCCTTTCCAGCTCTACACCGTGGAGACCTTGGACCCTGACGCCTCGAGATGCTGAGCGGACCAGACCTGGAGGCCAGGTGAGGTGAAGTGTGGCGTGGTGGGTATCCCCCAGTTCAGTCAGAAAACAGCACCGTCTCTGAAATGAGGGGACCATGATCAGCCCCCCGCCCAGCCCTGCCTTGGTGGTCTAGGGCAGAAGCAAGCGGTCTACACTAAGAGCCTGGTGAGTGGTGTCCGTCAGAGCCCAGGCACAGGAGACTGGGCTCCTGCTTGCTCCTCCTTCCCTGAAAAGCAAAGCCTCTCCAGCACAGCTGTTTCACGGGCCTTATAAGTGAGTTCTACTATGTTGGGGCTTTTTTTTTTCCTACCCCTTGCAGACCAGCAGGTAGAGAGAGGCCGGAGAGAAGGCTGCCTTGGTCCCCTCGCCTCAGAAGAATGATGCGTGTGTCATTACATGCTGGGCAGGTGCCACCGTGTAAATAAGGGCAGAGGCCAGTCTGGGGTGCCCCAGAGATGTGGTGGAAAGGCTGCTGCTGCTGCCTGGGCCTTTCTGGCGCACTTTCGACCCTGTCTGCAAGCACTGCTGGGATAGCTCGTGCTGGCTGAGCAAATACACTCCGGTGGAGGGCTTTGTGGGTGAAGATTAATGGCCACCACTGTTCTTTTGTGTCCTGCAGTGGTGACTACATTGCTTTACACTGGTTGAAGTGACGGCTTGGACTTGCTTTCATGGAATTTACCTTTTCTTGGTAAATTTTAAAATATAAATGGATGGCTCTTCTTTTAAAATACTGAAGTTAATTAGACTAGTAAGGACCAATTTAATTTACATATAACTACATGTGACTTATGGCAGTTATTTGTAATGTGATAAACTCAGGTGCAGGAAAGCAGATTTAGATGCTTTTTAAAAGTCGTGTGAATAATTTCAAAAATTACATTTTGCATTTAAATTACATTTAAAAATTATTCACACGGATTTAAAGTTTTAGTTCAGCTACTATTATTTAAAGAATGAAGCAAGTAAATATCAAATTAACAAGAAATATGACTTTGTAGCCCAAATTAGTGTTAAATTCATGCGATGTCTAAATGATGAAAAATAATTGCTTCTTTTGCATTCAAACGTGAGTTCTTACACATAAGACTTAAAAAAAAGATTTTATTTATTTATTTTTAGAGAGGGGAAGGGAGGGAGAAAAACATCAGTGTGTGGTTGCCTCTTGCCTGCCTTCTGCTGGGGACCTGTCCTGCAACCCAGGTACACGCCCTGACTGGGAATCGAACCTGTGACCTCTTGGTGCTCAATCCACTGAGCCACACCAGCCAGGGCCATAAGATGTTTTTTTAATTTTTATTTTATTGTTTATGGTATTTCAGTTGTCCCCGCCTTGTCTCTGCCCACCTCCACCCAGCTTAAACATAAGAGTTAAAAGGTCCTTGGAAGAGAGGGTATATAGAAATACACAATTATCCCACTTTCTTTTAAATGTATGTAGAGCCTATCAGTTGCAAGAATAGAAATACTATAGCATACTTCCTTACGTAAGGCAAGAGGGTGCGTTTTTTATCCCTATTGTGATGAGAAGGCCGTTCGTGGGAAAAGTGAAGATTGCAGAAGAAATGTTAAACTGTAGCGACTTTCTAGTTGATTGTCAACACGGCACACTGGTTGAAGCAGTTGTGTCCTTGGATTTTTTTTTTTTTTGACGGGGGGCGGTGGAGGGTGGGAGTCTCGTGGGCCTGTGGCGCTCGCTGCCCCACTTCCCCCGGGCCCCGTCTCTACCGAGCCCAGCTGGCTGGACGGAGCGGCCAGCGGTGAGCGACCGCCCGCGGAGTACCGCGCCTGGTGGGGTGCGGGGGGGGGGGGAAGCTCCGCGCGGGAAGGGAACGCTTGCTCCACAGCGCCCTCTCCCGACCAAGAGGAGAATTCCTTGGCTCCGGAGCCCTGTTGGGCATTTCCCGAGAAATTTCAGGGAATGCTTCAAGGCCCTGACCTGAGTGGAGCCACCCTCATCCACTGGTGCCCCTAAGTCCCCTTGGGAGCCCTCTCCCTCCCCTGCCTGGGGACAGTGAACGGCAGACTAACCCTTTGTTGACCTCTGTTCCATTTCCCTCCTGGCTACTTGCCAGCCCTGCCAAGCCGGCGATTTCCTGGAAGATGTCACGACCTGTGTTCTCCGGGACCCACCCTCCGGTTCTCCAGGCCGCCCACCCCGTGGCTTGGGCGGAGTCCGAGGCACGCGTGTCCCTCCCCATTGGATTTAAAACGCTTGGACACGAGGGGGGGGCTGTGGTGGACCCACCTGTCCATCTTTGAATCCCTCACAGTGCCCTGGACATCCTCCCCGGCGACAGTAAAAGGAAGACAGGCGTACGGAGTTCTGCTAGGGGGTTTAAACCGTCTCTGAGGTCCCAGCTGATGCTGACACGCGCAGGCCACTTAGATTTTGTGTTTATAAATTTCAGGATGCGACTCCAGAGGCTCCTTGATTGTGTGCGTTTGTGTGTGTGTCTGTCTTTACAGCTGGAAGCTGGGGGCGACCAACAGACTTCTGGATCGAAGGGGGCCTTTGGGTTTCAGCATCCTGTAAGGTAACACGACCTCACAGTAAGAAATGCAGCGTTTCCTTTTACTGTCAGCGTTCGCACACTTGAGCACCTTCTACTGCATGCATTTTCAACCAAGTGCAGAATAATTCCGTACTCCCCAACATTATTTAGTTACTATTATCCCAAGAAACTTCAGGGATATTTATTGGGACTTTTTTTTTTCAAGGCGATACTAGCAAATATCTTTTTTTAAAAGATTTTATTTATTTATTTTTAGAGAGGGGAGGGAGGGAGAAAGAGAGAGAGAGAGAAACATCAATGTGCGGTTGCTGGGGGCCATGGCCTGCAACCCAGGCACGTACCCTGACTGGGAATTGAACCTGCGACACTTTGGTTCGCAGCCCGCGCTCAATCCACTGAGCTACGCCAGCCAGGGTACAAATAGCTTTTTAGAAAATGGTATTACAGTTCTTCCCGTTTTTCTCCCTTTCCCCACCTCCACTCAACCCTAATCTTCTCCCCTCCCTCAGTCAATCCCCACACCTGTGTCCGTGGGTCATGCTTTCGTGGGACTTCCGGAACCTGTTCATTTATTCACTCAGGCTTTGTTTGAGTTGCAAGTTGGACTTGGCCTGCCTTTCCTTCAAACCTTTCATTTAATACCTCTTATTACATATTATGTCTTGTGTTAAATTTAGTGGAATATGAGTTGCCTAGGCATGCCTTAGCTGTTCAGATACATTTCTATCTCCCTCCCGGGATATGTTAGCGTGTTATCTAGCAGGGGTGTCAGACGTCTTGGCATCTCTGGGCCACAGTGGAAGAAGAGTCGTCTTGGGCCACACATTAAATACATTGCAACATGTAATCACACACACAAAAATCTCATAATGTTTTAAGTAAATTTACGAATTTGTGTTGGGTCGAATTCATAGCCATGCTGGGCCGAGGGTTGGACCCCGTGCAAACAGAGTGGGCCTTTGAAGCAGAAGTGCTGCCCGAACTGGAATGGATGGGTGCTCCCCCAAATGTCCTCCGCTCTTTCTTGGGGGGCTTCTGCGGTCCTGGTGGGAGCAAGCCCCCCACTGCTGTTTCCCTTACAATTCAAGCCTTAGCAGCAGGTGGCTTGTGCTGCAGGGGGTGGGGGGTATCTTTTTCTCTGTCTCTATCCACCACTTTCCTACTAGAATAAAACTAGTCTGTGCCCCGACTTTTCACCGGAGTGTTTCCCCCTGCTTACCCTGGCAGACTGGACCCTTCATCACACCCATGGACACTGACCGCAGAAGGTGCTAACTAGAGCCCTCAGAGTGGTCACAGGGTGACTGTTGGACAAGGGAAGCTTTCCCAGGGGCCTTTCTGTCAGTGGTCCTTAGTCCTCGTGGGATCACTGGGGAAGCTTTAGAAATACAGACCGTGGTCGGTGGCCCCCCCCAGGAGGGTCCGAAGCGCTTGTTCTGGGGAAGGCCTCAGGGCCTGTGTTCTGCAGGCTCTGCAGGAGATCTGGGACGTGCTTCGGGGTGAGACCCCCACCCTCCTGGGCCTTCCCCTGCACCACCTGCCAGGGCCTGCCACCTGCAGACGCCCTGCTCCTGCTCCGGCTCCCCAACTTTAGATTCGGTGAACATGCAGTGACTGGTGAGGCATGCGTTGCAAACTAAAGAACCGTTTTATCACAGAGACTTTCAAGCCTGTACCAAAGCAGAGAGAACAGGACAGTGAGCCCCCTGTGCCCAGCACCAACCAGCCTTATTCATCATCGGCGTTTTCCGACCCGATCACCTCGGTCGCCCTCTCCCAACTCTTTTTTTTTTAATTGTTGGCAGAATATTTTAAGGCAAATTCCAGACATCCTACGAATTCGAATTCACCTGTAAATACAGTAGCCCCCCCCCCCCCACTTACCTGTGGCTTCACTTTCTGAGGTTTCCGTCTACGCAGAGTTACACAACTTACAGCTTTCAAATTTCACGTCCTTCCATGAGTCAATGATGAAATCTCACCCTTTCCACCGCCCGGACGTGAATCACCCCTTTGTCCGGCAGCTCCACGCTGCAGCTGCTGCCTGACTGTTAGTCACTCAGCAGCGCTCTCGGCAACGAGATCGACTGTCAGAGCATCTCAGTGCTTGTGTTCGAGCGACCTTCACTTACCTGAGAGTGGGCCCGAAGCCGTACATTTGATTACAGCATATTGTCTTTTAATTTTTATGTGTTGATTTTAGAGAGAGAAAGAGAGAAAAGGATATCAGTTTGCTGTTCTACTTATTTATGCATTCATTGGTCGATTCTTTTTTTTAAGATTTTATTTATTTATTTTTTTTTAAAGAGGGGAAGGGAGGGAGAAAGAGAGGGAGAGAAACATCAATCAATGTGTGGCTGCTTCTTGCACACCCCATACTGGGGACCTGGCCTGCAACCCAGGCATGTGCCCTAACCAGGAATCGAACCAGCAACCCTTTGGTTCACAGGCCAGCACGCCAGCACTCAACCCACTGAGCCACACTAGCCAGAGGTCATTGGTTGATTCTTGTAGGTGCTCTGACCTAGGATCAAACCCATAACCTTGGCACATAAGGATGACGCTCTAACCAACTGAGCTACCCTGCTAGGGCCAACGTATTGTTATCATTATTCTATTTTATTATTAGTTATTGTTAATCTCTTACTGTGCCTAATTTATAAATTAAACTTTACCATAGGCATGTATGTATGCTTAGGAAACAGTACAGTTTGTGTAGAGTTCGGTGTTATCTGTGGTTTCAGGTATCCACTGTGGGGGGGGGGGGCCTTGCAACGTGCCCACCAAGGATACAGGCAGACTACCGGACTCCAGCATAATGCTAAGTTTAACATGACCAAACTCTATGCTGTGCTTATATCACACTCATAGGCATGGAGTCTTTTCTGCCAGTTGCAGAGTTTCTCAACTACAAACACTTGGTTGGGACTGGCTCATTCTTTGTTGCTGGAGGTGAGAGGCTGTCCTGGGCATTACAGGATCCAAAACCGTGTCCCTGGCCTCTACCCACTCTGTGCCAGTAGTTTCTCCTCAGTTGTGGCAACAACAAAAAAACGTCTCCAGACATTGCCACCAGCCTCCTAGAGGTTGAGGTGAAGAATCACTGGTCTGTCGGAAAGCTTAGGGAATTTGAAATGGTCAGGCGTTATTTCTAGCCAGGTGTGTTTTCTCGCTCTTCCTTGCCAGGGGACGCAAAATCCAAAAAGGGGGACTTGAGATCAGCTTTGCAAATAAGCAGTGATCAATTGATAATCCTGTCGGTTCCTCAGGAGACCACAGGGGGAAATGCAAACAAGTCCATAAAATGTTTTCAAGGACGAGAGAGGGTGGAGAGAGAGGGAGCGTTTTACAGACTTTCACTAGAATCCTAAGTTTACAAAACCTGGAGTTAGAGGTTCCAAATGTATATTATTTCTTTTATTTTTTAAAAAAGATTTTATTTATTTTCAGAGAGAGGGGAAGGGAGGGAGAAAGAGAGGGAGAGAAACATCAATGTGTGGCTGCCTCTTATGCGCCCCCTACTGGGGACCTGGTGGGCAACCCAGGCGTGTGCCCTGACTGGGAATTGAACCAGTGACCCCTTGGTTCACAGGCCGGCACTCAGTCCACTGAGCCACACCAGCCAGGGCTTCCTTTTTAAAATAGAGATACAGTTATACTATCAAAATGTCCCCAGAGTGGGGTCTTTCTCCTTTTCTCTTCCCTTTTCACTTTCTCCCTTTCTCTTCCTACTGCATAAATGGCCAGGGCTGCCGCTTTCCCTTCCAGACAGGCCAGCGACCCACCCCTATAGCTTCTCTAGGGCAACGTCCAGAAGGATTAGCTGCTTCTCTTCTAGCCCAGGGTCTCAGAGTGGAGTTTGAACTGGAGCCCAAAGGGCCACAGCATTGCCCAACGCTTCGGGGCTTCACCTGAACAGGACCAGGATTGGGGGGGGGGGGCCTCCTACTCCTCATCTTGGAACTCAGTGTTTCCGTTTCCTCTTACCTCCACGGGAGCACGCCCTTTCTCCTCCACTGACTTGCTCACTCAGATCGTAACTCATTGCCGAAGTAGCGTGGGACCCTCGCCAGCCCTCGGCCTCTGCCCCTGCCCGCAGTGGCGTCCTGGTGACGTGATACAAAGCGCTGCGTGCAGCGAAGGCAAAATCCGAGAGGAAGTTTGGCAGTTAGCTGATTCGAGGAAAAAAAAAGATCATTTAGATGCAGCTGTGAACTGTTTCAAGTTGATTCACGCTGGATTTGTTTCTTACCTATTAGGCTTTATTTACCCGTTTCCAAGCGCCAAGAATACCTGCAGAGTTCTGGGGAGAAAGTGCTGGCCAGTTTCCCCGTGCAAGCCACCATCCACTTCTATGACGACGCGTCGGACTCGGAGGACACAGAGCGCGAGGAAGACCCGCCGCCGCCTCCCCGGGAGGCGCAGGGCTGGGCGGAGGACCGCCCAGGAGGTCCGCGCCGAGAGGAGCTGGTGCGCCCTGGACAGAGGTCTGGAGGACAGGGTAGCTCCCCGGGGGGCGCCGAGTGCTCCTCCTCCAAATAGGTGGGGTCTCCCGGGCCAGACCTGCCTCGCATGCCCTCCTGGGGACAGCTGTGCCTGGACACTTCTCATTTGCCCCGGGTGTGCGTGGGGTCGGGGCGGCCTTGGCTTTGGCCGTCTCTGTCCAGCACTCCATGTAGGGTGAGGAGGACTCGCGGCTGTCCCTTTTCCTTGGGCCGACTCTTCCCCGGGGCACCCCTGTGCACCACCGGGAGAGGGGTCCAGCGCCAAGGGGACCTTTGCGTCCACACGGGTTCTTAGCGGGCTGGGTGGACTTCCAAAGCGCGGTCAGCGCGGCCACTGCCTCTCGCTTCACCTGAGGCGCATTATTTTGCTATTTCTGCTTTTGTGGAAAAGACACTGTGAGAAGGTTGATGTGCTTGGGTAGTGGCATTCTGAAAAACTTATTTATCAAAAACAAACAAAATGCCCTGGCTGGCGTAGCTCAGTGGATTGAGCGCGGGCTGCGAACCAAAGTGTTGCAGGTTCGATTCCCAGTCAGGGCACATGCCTGGGTTGCAGGCCACGGCCCCCAGCAACCACACATTGATGTTTCTCTCTCTTTCTCTTTCTCCCTCCCTTCCCTAACTCTAAAAAATAAATAAATAAATAAAAATTAAAAAAAAATGGATAAAATCTTTAAAAAATAAAATAAAATAAAATAAAACAAAAAAACCAAAACAAAACAGTAATCCCTGTAAGAATAACAGAAGTAAGAAGATGGATGTGGGGGAGACAGTTCCCGACAGGAGTTGCCCTGATTGTTGTGTAAGGCCCGCATGTATGAACGGAGAGAGGGGGGAGCTTTAGTTCTGAGTCCGGGTCGACTTGGGGCTTGTTACTTGAGTAGAATAACACTGTTTCCCATCAGGTATTGATGGTGAAATTATTTTCAGTTTTATATTTGAATGGCCAGATGAGCATTTTCCTCCAAGTACTGTACTTAACTTTCTTACATGTAGTTGTCTTCTTGTACACATAGGTTTTACTTGAAATAAATATTTTGAAAGAAAAAATAAAGTTTGATGACCATCTTTTTTGTTTAAGGCATTTCTGTATTTAATTAGTTCGTACATTAACATTTTTAAAAGTTTATTAGGATGTTTTTATATTTAACCCTTAAATGATATTTATTGTTTTTAAGCAGGTAGGGAAAAAAACATAAAAAAGAAAACAAAATGGTCTATAATGTCAATGCTCAAACAATCCATTAATAGTTTAAAAATAGGAGGGACCTGGCTGGGGTGGCTCAGTGAACTGAGAGCCAGGCTGCGAAGCAAAGGGTCGTGGGTTCGGTTCCCAGTCAGGGCACAGGCCTGGGTTGTAGGCCAGGTCCCCAGTAGGGGGCGCATGAGAGGCAGCCACACACTGATGTTTCTCTCCCTCTCTTTCTCCCTCCCTTCCCCCCCTGTAAAAATAAATAAATAAATAAATAATCTTTTTTAAAAATAGGAAGAATACATACAGATATTTTAACAATCCAAACAGTATAGAAAAATCTATATTGCAAAGTCAATGTCACCCTTTCTTGTCCAAAGGTAGCTAATGTCAATTATTTTTATTGCTCTACCTTTTTAAAAAATTACCTTTTTGGATCTTTTAAAACATTTTTGTTATTTTTGGTTTATTTTAACTTTTTAAAACTAGGTTATTTTATTTTATTGTATCTTTTGCTTGTTTAAGGTACTTTTTTCAAGTTTAAAAACAATTTCACCTGAGTTTATTTCAAAAAAGATTTACAATGGCCTCCTATTTTGTTGGGTTTTAACAGAAAAAGTTTAGAAGCTTAGTCTTACTCTCACGTGATGCTCGGGATGAAGCCGAAGTCATTACGTTTGTCTTTGTTTAGCTGTCTTTTTTTTTATTATTTTATTTATTTTTAGGCAGAGGGGAAGGGAAGGAGAAAGAGAGGGAGAGAAACATCAATGTGTGGTTGCCTCTCACACGCCACTACTGGGGACCTGGCCTGCAACCCAGGCATGTGCCCTGACTGGGAATTGAACCGGTGACACTTTGGTTCACAGGCACACACTGAATCCACTGAGCTGCGCCAGACAGGGCTCCAGTGGTATTTTCTAAAACCTGCACTTCTCCAATGTATTTGCTACAGTAGCTTGCCTGCTAATGAGGCAGTAAATGGAGTTCACAGGAGGTGCCATCTTTACACCTTTTCTCTGGAGTCCGTCTCAGCTTCTGGTTAAAGCAGCCACCTCTGCAAGGGTTACACTTAGTCGGGTTTCCATAAAATGTATCGCTCTGAATAAGTAAGTCTTTTATGGTGGAAGCTGACTTCTTCTTTCAGCGGCTCACAGAAAGGAGCTCCTAGGGAATTTAATTGTTGAAACAGAACCTTGCAAATGCCACAGGCTGAGGCGTGTTAGGGGCACGGCACTTTCACCCCGCGGTACAGCAACCCTCCTGCAGTGCGGGTTTGTTGTAATGTTTTTTTTTTAAGATTTTATTTATTTTTAGAGAGGGAAGGGAGGGAGATAGAGAGATAGAGAGAAACATCAATGTGCGGTTGCTGGGGGTTATAGCCTGCAACCCAGGCATGTGCCCTGACTGGGAATTGAACCTGTGACACTGTGGTTGGCAGCCTGCGCTCAATCCACTGAGCTACGCCAGCCAGGTGTTCGGTTCTTCACATCTCCCGCTGCCGCTGTCTTCCAACGGATCTGCGAGCAAAAAGATGCCTTTTTGCTCGTAAAGGATCCATTTGTTTTCCTGTTGCTTCCTGTTTGCTATTTTAACCAGGTTTACTGCTGTGGGAAGAAAATGTGTTTCCCCAGTGGTGTGTTTCTTTTTGAACTTCTGTATTAAAACAAGAAATGGCCCCCCCAAAAAATTCCACTAAATGTTCAACATTAAGTTTGGTGACATTTTAGAAATTTCAGAAACTGTATAATCTGCTTTCTGTCCACCTGCGATTTCCTGTCCTGGGTATTTCATACAAACAGGATTATACAACAGGCGGCCTTTGGCGTCTAGCTTCCTTCACGGGGCATGACGTCTCCAGGCTCATCCATGTTGTGTCATGCATCGGTGTAACACTCCACTGCATGGAGAGGCCACGTGGTATGCGAACGGCACCCAGGTCCAAAACAACACAACCAGTCCCCCAGGATACCCCCCTGCGCTCCCCCCCACCCCCCGGGCACCACCTTCCCGCAACTACAGATTCCATTTGTCTGGTTTGGGACCTGATACCAATGGGACCACAGGGCACGTGCTCTTGCGGGTCTGGCTCCTCTCCCTGACACGGGTTTGCGGGACGCGACCACACTGCGTGCAGGTGCAGAGGCTCGCTCTCACGGCCGAATGGAACCCCACTGTGCGAATGCGCCGTCGCTCCTTCACTCCTCCTACGGATGGGTATTTGGTTGGTTTCCAGTTTGAGGCTATTGGGAATAACAGCTTTGACCTTTTCTGCGTATGGCTACTGGTGGACCTGCGGGCCTGTTTCCACCACACGTATGCCTAGGAGTGACGCGAAAGCACTTATGTTATGAGGCCACCCTGTTAGAAATGCGGGACAGACAGAGGCAGGAGGAGCCTGATGATTTGACCCAAATGCCTTGATTTGATGCTGTGCATACAGGCAGGCTGAGTCCGGACCAACGGGAGCCGTGGGGCGTGGGGAGGAGGCAAGCATGGGGTTTTTAGAAGAAAAAGCACAGCGTTTATAGGGGAATAGGGGAGGGGTTAGTCTTCTGTTCTTCTGGGCGAGTGCCTCAGGGTTTCAGGATGGGAGCCGGGACAGTGGGTTAGGTAAAGGGCCGGACCGTTCCCAGGTACGGGCGGGCAGGTCAGTCTGCCCACAGGCCACTGTGGCTGGCGCCAGAAGTCTGTCTACTGCGCCGGGTGTGAGAGTGTTTCTGTTAAGCCTCGGGCTATCAACTGAGTTGGGACAACTGAGTCATGGACAGGGCATCAGGTTGGAAACCGGCCTGACTGGGTCCGGAGCAGCCTGGCGGGCTGGGAATTGGCCTGACCCTTTCATACCCTGGGTCCGGCCTCCTCCAGCCAGAAATGATTTCAGAACTGGAGAGAGGGGGTCACAGACCAGGACGTTGTAGAGGAAGAGAATGAGGTTACCACCAAGGCCATTCTTGTCCTTGAGGTCTTTAAAAACGGGCCGGAGCTCAGCGGAGCTGTGAGCGGCCACGGTCAATGGAATCTCCGTTCTTCCTGAATCGGGATTTTGTAATGGGGTCTAGGAGCTTCCTTCACTAGGGGCTGGGATGTGAAATGAGACCTGGGCTATTCAGGCCCCTAAGATCCTGGAGAAGAAAGTCTGAGAACTCTTCTACAGGTTGCAAGAAGTTTCCAGAAACTTAATAAGGTTTCAGTCAAACTCCTGAACTCCTCTCATCCGTTTGCACACAGAGAAAATATCGCAGAAAGAGTCATGTCTGAGGATGAAACCCAAACCGCACACGGTGCGCTTCCCAGCAAGGGGCCCGGGCCTCTCCCCACCCTCCCTGCCTCTGGATCAGCAAAGTCGCTCCCTGGGAGGCACGCCAACCACGGGCCGCACGCCCCTGCGCTTACTGGTTCCTCGTGCATGCCGCTGCCTTGCTCGTGACGCACACTCCATTAAATTTTTCCATCAGTTCGTTTTGGGCCTTGAACAGTCAGCTGGATTCACAGAGGTTTTTTGGTTTGTGTTTCTGAGCAGTTTGTCCTTAGCACCTTTTTTCTCTCCTGTGCTAGGAAGACAATACATCTAAGCAAGAGAAAAACTGCCCTCACAAAACACCAGAGGGGGAACTTTCTCCTTCCCTGCAGAGTGTGAATCATGTCCGCATGACTCATTCTTTAAAAAATTGTGGAAATAGGCAGACAAAGGCAGAAATAGGTACCCTTTTATGATGATCGTGAAAATGGTGGATGCTTATAAAAATAATTGGACTGCCTTAGAAGTTGCTGGGCAAATTTAAAATACAGCACTATCTTAATCTTCCATGTTATCATTGCATAGCAATCCTTAATGTGGATTTCATTTTATAGTTTCCGATATTTCAAAAGGATGCTCAACGTCCTTAGTCCTTATGGAAATGCAAATTAAAATTGGTGGGACACTGTCATGCACCTACTGGAACGGTTACAATTTTAATAGACAGATAATAACAGGGGTTGATAGGGATGTGAGGACCTGGAACATCACTGGTGTGCATGCAGAATGGTTAATCATTTGGAAAGGACTTGGGCAGTTATATTTAAAAATTAAGCCCTGGCTGGCGTAGCTCAGTGGATTGAGCGTGGGCTGCCAACCAAAGTGTCACAGGTTCGATTCCCAGTCAGGGCACATGCCTGGGTTGCAGGCCACAGCCCCCAGCAACCACACATTGATGTTTCTCTCTCTCTCTCTCTTTCTCCCTCCCTTCCCTCTCTAAAAATAAATAAATAAATCTTGAAAGAAAAAGAAACAGACAGCAACAGAAAGCAGGATGGGGGCCGCTTCGTGCTGGGAGTGGGAGCAGGGGTTAGCGCAAACGGGCACGAGGCGACTTCTG